ATACTAGTGAAAATGCAGCTGTCAGCTAATGCACTATCTGGACTAAATTGATCAAGCTGACTGAGAGAATTTAGCCCTTGATGAAGAGATGAAATATTTTCATCAGTCATAATAAATTCTCTCGCTCCTTCTGAGAAGAGGTTACAGAAAATTTGAGAAGCTCAGAAGGCAGATACAGAGTGCACATACCTCTGGAGCCGCTGTCTAGACAGTTGGTCCAAATACAGTCCAACTAAAATTCCTTTACGCAAGTATCATAAACAAAGCAGACATTTAACCATAGTTCATGATATTCGAGTTTTCAATCACAGTTCAGCAAGTGCAAAATCTATGAGGGAAGAAATTTCATAGACTTCATAGAGGGCACTTAGGAATATCAAACATAGAGCTGATGCACTGTAGTCTGTATGGTGTCCAAGCATTTTAAAAGAAAGGAATTCCTTTCCTGCTGTCATACATGTGCAATGAATAGTCAGACACAAATGGAGCTCTCATTATTTTCTCATTTCCTTGACAGGTCTTGGCAAATGTTGACACTATACTTACTTAATGTTCAAGGGAAAGCACACTTGATAAAAATGGATTACTAATCCAAGTGGATACAGTTTACTAGATTTCACACAACCACAGCTTGAGACAGTAACCACAGCACTGAAGAAAACCTTTGCTACACATGAGTTTCCAGATGAGATTGTTTCAGACAACAGTCTACAATTCATGAATGAAATTTTTTTATAATTCGAAAAAGAATCAGGAATTAATCATGTCATGACTTTTCCTCTTCATCCATGGACCATTGGAGAAGCCAAAAGAGCAAAAAAACTATTTTGTCAGAAACAAAGATTTGAATTTAGTTTTACTGATTGGAAACTTACTGGCACAATTTCTGATGGGTAGAAGACTGAAAGCAGAAATTCCAATACTATGGCAAAATCGTAAAACTAATTATCACGTCTCAAGAACACAAATAAGGGAGAGGAATTGAGAACAACCACAAAATGAAACAAAATAATTGGTTGAATTCCAGGCATTGAGTGAGCTTTGTCAGTTTTGGTACCAGGCCAAAAAGTTTTGATAAGTGATAGGAAACCAGTAGGTGCTGTTCTTAGAAAGTATTCAGCCATGATCTTACATTGTTTGAAGTCTAGCACAAAGATTCTGAAGAAACAGAAAAGCATTCATTTTCCTTGAAGCAGCTGGAACAAGTCAATATGACTAATGTATAAAATTTGGGATAATGAGAACAGAATGGATACCATCTACCATGAATAATGATGAGAGTTACAGAAATGATGGAAGAGTATAACCCCCATCCAGCAATTGTGCAAACAAGATCACAGTGAGCTATTCAAGTTTCCAAAGACAAAAGTCAAATCTTACAGGAGCATGAATGCAATGAGTCATGGTGGAATTTGTGCCAAAATCTTGCAAGAAGTCCAGCAAGGTCAACCTTGACATCGGGAGCAACTCACTGTGTCTTTTCTGCGTTTGCCAAGTGGCAAGCTGAGTTTCTCATGAGACAGCAACACTTTGCCAGTTTAGGGGGACTTAAACTTGTTAAACGCATTATTCGGGGCATAACTCACCTCATTAATATTCAGTTTCCTATCTTACCAAACCTGCCGAGAAGCTCGACATTGTGAATTCTCACTATGGAAACCAGAGCAGGTACTTGCTATCTTCAGCTCACCGCTTGCTCCAAAGGACCTCCATGTCGGACACCAACATCTTAGGGCTGTCTCACTGGGCATCACCCATATGCACTGCATCTCCATGGGGATTAGCATCTGACATGTGCCAACCCTAAGAATCCTCATAGTATATCACCAATCTGGTTGAGGTCTACTTCAACACTTCAGTGCTGCACCTCGGGCTGCATTACCAAGCATCACTGTCATGCTGTAGCAAGGATTCTGTGTGCTTAGAGATACACTTCCATACACTCATAGCATGGAGCAGGCTGCATCTCCGGCCTATTAATTTGCTGGCATAACGCTCAGTCACACTGAGTCTTCCTGGATGCTCCCACCATCCCTACCTTGTATTGCATTGCCTTGCTTTGCATTGCCCTGTCTTGCCTTTTTAAGTTTTGCCTCCTCAGCCTGAGACACCAGGCTCATTACATTGGTTGCCACACCATTTAGTGAAGACCCAAAATCAAGAAGCTTGACATATTTGTAAGCAGGTCTCAGTCAAGTCAAGGAGGTAGCCTTCACTGTGGAGGTTCCAGCACAGCAAGTCAAGGGCAGCTTTCAGTAGCAGTACAGAAGCTTGTGGGTGAGCAATCAGCCTGTGGGATGGTGAGAGTCTGGATGCTCTTCACATTAACAGTGAAGACCTGAATGTCATCTTGACTCTTTTTGGTTTATTGTGGGCTGTTTCCTTCTAAAATGAGAGACAGTCAGGTACTAAGGCTGATGAAAGTGGGTGGCATAGCTATTCATTTTGGTGCAGATGGGGAAGGTGTCCTGAGCAAGTGAGCAGACAGTGCAGAGGGTATGCAGGCCTGGTGGTGTAGGGGGTTGTGGTGAGTGAAGGCAGATGTTGCAGGCAATATTAAGAATGGTAGAATCTGAGGCTTGGTGGGACGTGAGAACAGTAGCAGTGATAGAGTCAGTATGAGGTAGCAGAGAGAAGATTGTAGCACTTATGCTGGCAAGGTGGAGAAACTCTTTGAGATTTTTGTTACATTGCAGCACATTCCTTCAGATGGCTGAGACTGCACTGAACTGGGGGACAAGTACAATTCAGGCTGGCATAGTCTTGTGTCGTGGCCTCTTTTGCTGGTCCTGGGGAAAGAGGACATCCCACTTTGAAACCACACTGTTCACCAGAAATTCTAGGTCCCTGCCCACTAACTGGGCAACAAATTTCCCTTATGTACCACATCGGGGGCAAATGTCAGGGATTGTGCAGGGTAGCTGACAGTGTTTGTCTAGGTGCAAAACATCCTTTAAAGATAGGGCAGTACCAGAGATGGCAGTCAATTCTTGGATATTCAGGCAGTAGCGAGTCGTCCTCAGATGGTGTGTGGTAAGATGGGGCTAGAATCATGTGAGAGCGACCATAGGGGCAGGACAGGTAGTTAATGAAGAAAAACGAAAACAGAAATTGCTGTCGAAACTTAGCAGGTCTGGCAGCATCTATGGAAGAAAATAGAGTTAACATTTCCAGTCGGGTGACTTCATCAGAATTCTAAGCAGCTGGAAATAAAATGCCAGCAATTTTTGTCTTTGTTTCAGATCTCCAACATCTGCAGCTCTTTGTTTTATTGCAGTTAATGAAGTGAGTTTGGTAAGATGCAGTGAGAAAACTTGTTAGGCCTCACAATGAAAATCCCTCCAGAAAACCTAATACCACTGTCACTTAGCTAAAAAAAAAAATCAATGTGTCAACTCAAAATCTCTGATGTTTGAAATTTGAGTGCAGGGAGATGGTGAGAATGTAAATAGTTTCAAGAAATTGATGAAATGATAAGTTGAGAGAAGTAGGATGTGGGGTGGATCTGGAGTTGTGATATAATGAGAATGCATATGCAAATAATATAGTGATCTATTGATGAATAACACTGACATCAAAACACTGAAAAGAGTGGAATGAATATCTGCATTAGAGAGAGATGATGCAAAGATCAGTTTTCTGTGCAATAGTATGTTAATAAGGGAATTTATTGGAGCTGCTGAGAATGAAAGACATTACTCTTTTTTAGATAAGGTGGAGACAGAAAAGTTCTGTTGTGAAATTGTGGAAACAGTACAATCTACAAAAGCAGCCAGTATGGTGTGGAATCACGCCCTGAAGCTAAATCTTCATGTTAGCCAAATCAGCTAAGAGTTGTATCCAGGGAAGTAGATCAATCCATGGTGTCAACCCAAACAACTTTGTAAATACTTCAAAGAGAAATTGGGAAGCATCCCAAAAATGCATTTTGAAATAGAACAGGTTTTGCGACATAGCTTTTGCCTTGCACTAACAAATAGTTAAACATCCATCATCATCAGTATTGAACACAGATGTGTATTGGGGCTTCATTACCCCACTTTAGCATGGTTTAAAGCTTAAAGGGATAAATTTGTAAAAGTCATGCTCCCATGTGTACAGCTTGCCCCATGGGAGCGCACAATGGGTAATTTAGGTGTTTCCACTTAATGATGTTCTGTCAATTATTTTTAATTGGCAGAAAAGAAGGCAGAGTACTCATCAAAATCCTTGATATGTTCTGGTTCTTAGCAGTAATACATACTGGGAGTAAGAATTGATAAAAGTTACTATTGGTGGAGCAAATTATGCCTATTGGTCACTATACATAATTAACTGCTGTGGTCCAAACTTCATGTTTACATCCACCCAAATTTTCCTGGGCCTTTGATCCTGTCAAAGTATTAAGATTGGGATTGTGTTTCCCAATTTAAATAAAAATGGAATGTGTCTGCGTTGCCATATTGTGAGTTCCTGCCATTTGTAGTTTGAGGTATGGGATGGATGGGGAAAAGCACTGATCTTCCACTTACCACAGCACCATGATGAAAAATTATGCTTGCAGACAGCTAATGAGAGTTGGTTGAATGTTCCAGAAGCTCAGAAGAAGACACAGATTGAGCTTATATTAATTCCCTTCAAAACTAGGCAATCAGTCATGAATGTATACTGGTTATCACTTCATGAAGCAGCTTGTCCATGGAACGTGAGAATCGATGAGGACTTTTGGACCTGTTACCTGACTGTTAATCACTGATGTGGATAACAGTGTTGGGAGTGGGTGGAACCCAGGTATATCTTATTCACCATCTATTTTGTGGACTCTGTCCTAGAATCCTGACAGGACTACGCTAGAGGGTTGATGGAGATTTGAGTTCCATATCTTCAAATTATGAGAACAATAAATTACCCCTTGGAAAACCTTGTATGTTTACCCTGCCAGTCATATGCATCAATGTTTCAAATTCATTCTTCAATAAACAAACAAAAGAGGATAAAATTTACTTTTTGTTTATATCCAGGTACTACAATCATGCTACACCTGTCCAAAAGCAGTGGAGGTTATGATCAATTCATATGAATCCATTCAATCCACACCAAAGTGGAGACAAGTTATACCAGATGAAGTCCTAGAGGTAATTTTGTTCAATTTCTGTTTCCTTTGTTTGAAGTTTCTAACCTCAACTGAACAAAACAAAAAATCAGGTAAGACCAAATAGTTTCTGTAAACTAGTCATCACCAAATTCATGACTCGAGCCAGAACAGGACTGGATATTTAATATCCTAGGTTATAAGGCTTTTAGTCAAAATAGGATGGGTGTAAGGGGAGGAGGTGTGGCAGTCTTGGTGAAAGATAGTATCATTGTCCTTGAACACAATACAGTTCCTGAATTAGAATCTATATGGTTAGAAGTGAGAAACAGGAAGGGAGCAGTGACCTTGTTAGGTATTTATTATAGACCTCCAAATAGTGGGGAGGAAGTAAAAGAGAGTATTTGTGAGTAGATTATGGAGATTTGCAGGACAAGTGATTGTTGTGATAGTTCGTGATTTCAATTACCCTAGGGTAGACTGGGAAAATGGGAGGGTGTAGGGCATGGAAGGGGAAAAATTCCTACAATGCATGCGGGAGAACTTTCTGGAACAATACATTTCCAGTCCTACCTGGGAGGGAGCTGTGCTGGATCTGGTCCCAGAAAATGAGGCAGGCCAAGTGGAGAATGTCAGAGTGGAGGAGCATTCAGGAAACAGTGATCATAACATAATAAGGTTCAGTATTAAGTTGGAAAAGGATAAAAATCAATCAATGATTAAGATCCCAGACTAGAAAAGGGCAGATTTTGGGTGTCTAAAAGTTGAACTGGAGCATGTTTATCAGAAACGCATTTTGCTGGATAAAACAACAGATGAAAAATGGAAGAATTTTAAAAGGGAGATGAATAGGGTACAAGCTAGGTAAATACCCATGAGAAGTAAATATGGGGTATCCAAAGCTAGACAACTCTGAATGACTAAGGATATTAATGAGAAAATAAGGAAGAAAAAGGAGGTATGCAACGCATACTGGAATTATAATAGCAATAGAAATCAGGAAGAATATCTCAAATGCAGGAGAGAGGCTAAGGCTGGCAAGGAAGGCTAGGAGGAAGCATGAGGAAAGAACGGCAGGCTGTGCTAAAACAAATAGTTCTTCAAGTATATTAACAGTACAAAAATAGTGAAGGTTAGGGTGGGGTCCATTAGGAACAAGCAGAGTAAGCTGCTCACTGAATCAAAGGGTATGGCAGAGGTTCTAGATTAATATCTTGCTTCAGTCTTTACCAAATTTTAAGATGGTGACAATAGAAAACATGAGTGTTGAGCAACTAAGCAGTATAGAGATAGACAAACAAGAGGTGCTAAAAAGGCTGGCAACACTCTAGGTAGAGAAGTCACCAGGTTTAGATGGGATGCGCCCTAGTTTGCTGAGAAAGCTAAGGGATCAAATTGTGGAGTCTTTGACAGAACTTTTCCAGGCCTTCCTGAACACAGCTTTAGACCCACGGGCCTGGAAGATTGCAAATATGATACTGTTTTTTTAAAAAGGGAACAAAGGATAACCCAGGAAATCACAGATCTGTGAGCTTTACGTCAGTAGTGAGAAAACTGATGGAGGCTATAATGTGGGATAAGGTAAATATACACTTAGGAAAAAATTAGTTAATACTAGACAGTCAACATGGCTTTGTCCAGGGCAGGTCATGTCTGACAAATCTAATTGAGTTCTTTGATAAGGTGACACAGGCAGTGGATGAGGATATTGCTATGACTGTTGTATATTTGAACCTGTAGAAAGCATTTGATACGGTACCACATGGCAGGTTGGTTAGCAAATTAGAAATGTTTGGGATTGATAGGTCCTTGGCAGCATGGATTAGAAGTTGGCTAAAGGACAGGAAACAGAGGGTAGGTGTAGATGAGCATTTCTCAGATTGGAGATGAGTTGAAAGTGGTGTTCCCCAGGAATGGGTGCTATTTTCTGATTTATACAAACAATTGGGAGATGGGTGGTGAAAGCAAAATATCTAAATTTGTGGATGATACTAAGCTAGGGAGAATAGTGAATTATGAGGATGGTGCTGAGTGACTTCAAAGAGACATTGACAAGTTGGCCAAATGGCAGCTGGCAGATGAAATTCAATGCAGAGAAATGTGAGGTAATGCATTTTGGTGGAAGAAACACAGAGAGACAGTACAGGTTCCATGGTACAACTTTGAGGTGAGTGCAGGAACTGAGGGACCTTGGAGTTCACAGGCATGATTCTCTGAAGGAGGCCAGGCAAGTTGAAGCAGTTGTTTCAGGCTTATAGAATCCTTAGGTTTATAAATAGAAACATAGAGTATAAAAGCAAGGAAGTGATGCTACACCTGTGCAAATCTTTGGTCAGATCACATTTGGAGTGTTGTGTTAAGTTCTGGGCACTTTATTTAAGGAAGGATATTAAAGCCCTGGAGAAAGTTCAAAGGAGATTTACTGGAATGATACCAGGAATAAAGGATTTTAGATACAAGGAATGATTAGAGAGATTAAGCTTATTCTCCTTGCAGCAGAAAAGATTAAGAAATAACTTTATTAAGGTGATCAAAGTTGTGAACAATTTTGACAGGGCAAAGAAGGATATTCTACTTCCAGTAGTTGATACATCAGTAACCAGGGGGTCACAATTTCAATATTCAATAAACAAGAGAGGTAGGAGATGAGGCAAAACTTCTTTACTTAGAGAAATGTTAGGATTTAGAATGCACCACCTGGGAGAATGGTGGAGGTGGATCCCATAGGAGGTTTTAAAAGAGAGCTGGATGTATATTTGAAAGTGATGAAGTTAGAGGGCTACAGAGATAGAACTGGAGGCTGGAGCATGATATAGACATAATGGTTCAAAAGGCCTCCTTTTGTACTGTAAAATTCTATGGTTCTATCGTTCTATAGACTAAGCTTGATTAAATTCAGATGAGTCAATGCACATGTATATGTGTGCACATATGGGATCAACAATAGCCAGTGATGGTGATTTTTGCTATGTCCCAACTCTTTTGAATTTTGAGCTCTGATTAATTTTCAAGTGAGTAGGTTTGTATTGGATATCCATCTTATGCTCCATTAAAGCTAATGGAGGGTAAATCAACCTGAACACATCACAAACTTGGCAGGTATAATCAGTTAAAGTCAGGATGGATATCAGTGGAGGACAACTTCCTTTCTGCAGTGAGATTGAAAAGCAATAGACTGCATGGATGGTTGGCTAATTTTAAACTACATCATTCATGCTGATTAAACAGATTGCTTACTAATTGCATTGAGATACAAATCAAATGGGCTGTACAATGGGTGGGCAATTGCTCCGACAGATTACTGCTCAGATTCTACAGATCAAAGTTATCTCCTGATATCTTTGCAAACATTGTTCATTCCCATCACAGCTATGAATAGAAGATGTATTTGGAGGTGACTAAATGCCAATGATTTTTGGTGATTAATCCTTATAGAAGCATATTCACAGGAATAGCATGATATATGAAGAAGACAAGAAAATCAGAGAGATTTGCAGGAATTATACAGATGTGACACTTGGAGCTTTGGTTATCTAAATATCAGCTGTCACAATGTTAGAGTAAACGCCAAGTAAGGTGAAGAATTTCTGAAATGCTTCTTGATGAACATGTTCTCAGTCCAGTTAGGAAGGAGACATTCATCGCTGGATTTGGTGTTGGGGAAATGAAATGAGGCAAGTGGGCCTATCGTTTGCAGAGGACAACTCAGATGAGAGTAATTATCATATCACAGGGCTTAGGTTCATATTCCAGAGGAACAAGGGACAAGCTAAGGTTAAATTGGAAGAGGACTATCTTGAGCAGTCTGAGTGAGGATCTAGCCAGGGTAGAACAGAACCAGAATTTGACAGGTAAACTGAAACTGTGCAATGAATGATCTTTAAGGTAGAGAAGTTTCATGTGCAGGTTTGGTACATTGCAAAAAGATGTAAAGGCAGAGCATCAATGTCATGTTCCTTGGATAACACAGGAGAAAGGGAATGTAATGAAACTAAGAAAAGAGTATGATGCATGTCAAATGGATTTTTGAAGTGAGAATCTGGCTCAATATGACATTGAGAGTCAAGAAACCTAATATACTCCAGGACTGTAGATATAGTGAGATCATAAAGGGAACTAGTGACAACGTGCAGGATATAGGATAACTGAGGAGCATGCTCCAAGGTCTGTACACCATAATTCCCCTCCACTCTGCTTGAGGCAAGGTCTATAATCATAGTTCTCTCCAGGAACCAGTAGTTGTGTGAATATACACTATGGTGCAGTTACAGTTGCCCACAATTAGCCCAAAGGCTAGTTTTGTCCGTGCAGTTTGAAACTTCTAAGTGATCACAGTACCAATACATTAAAACTAAGAAATCACCCTTTATTTAGAACAATAGTGCAAAATGAAATGCTTCTCAATCAATGATTTATTGATGCCAAGGCCCCCATCCTTCACTTGTCTGGCAGGAGATTCCAGCCCTGGTGAGGCACCTTATAGATTGAATATATTCACTTCCTCCATAGCTGCATGAGACATCAAGATCGCAATGAGCTGACTGTGCACAATGACTCCATGACTTGACGGAATTTCACTGGAATGTGATGTCATCAGTTCTGGAAATATAACTGTTTATTTGAGAACTGAATCCACTGGAATCACGATTCATAGAATGTCCCTTCAGTCAGTCTGAAATCTAAACCTTAACTACACCCACCCAAAAAATAATTGTCTTCCTACTTTGGGTGTAGCCTTTTGAAAGTAGAAGAAAGTTTGGCAAATTATTCAAAATAATGAGATTTACTTTCATGGTTAGAATGAATTTGTTCAACCCTTCCCTTGTCACCCTCCAAGAGCCCACCAGTCTTTGTAATCCCTGTCACCTTGGAAAGAAACCACCCCACTGATATTTCCACTGATCACATCAATGTGTTTATTAATTTGCCTATTTCTTCCCCTTTGTGCCCTTAACAAAGCATGTTCCAATGCTTCTCCTGACCTTCTACCCTCCTTTCATCTGCATTCCTTGACACCACACCATACAAAACCATCTGGTTCCTGAGCCTGACCCATTAATGTACATCTTACCAAATCTAATTATCAACAATACCCCCATCCCACCCGGTGATTGTGACCATGACCTCTGCTTCCCAATACTGCTAGACACATCCTTGGCCATGAACTTCCCACAGCAAGGACCAAAACCTGGACCACCATTTCCCTGTGACTTTCCCTTTCCAGCCACGATCCCAATCCTCCCAGGTCAGGACAGAGGTTGCTGTGAGGTACACCCTTCAATCCTTGAATAGACAATGCTGCAGTCCTTTGCAGGCACCCACCTTTTTGCAATTAACTGCACTTCTCTTAACCTTTTCAGCTTTAACATGCCCTGCAGCCACAGAGACTGCCTCCCACATCTTAGTCATTTATGCTTTAACATGACCTATAGAGTGTCACCTCCACCCTGTTGACTGCACTTGACGAGTTTACGACACAACTCAATGCAACCGTCATTTAAAGCTGTATTGTTATCAGGAATAGCAGCAAGTACTTACCTCATAGTCCAGGAAGAAGTGAAGGCTGTCAGAAGCAGGCCTTTTTCATGCTGTCAGGTATTTAAAGCAACAGTTTTTGCAATTGGGGAGAGGTCAATTCAGAAGGCCTACTTATTTCCAGCAAATGTGATGCTAATATATGCAGATAGGGTTTTCAATGCCTGCAGTTGGAATGGTTGACCTGTCTTTTATCATTGGATTACTTTGTTGCAAAACTTTAGCCCACTCATGAGAATCTGATTTTTGGAGTTCTTGCCTAATTACATTTACCCGTGCACCATCCTTCTCACCTCCTCCTGGACTGGAAGATTCCACCCTGTGACCCTAGTCAGTAAAAATGACATGATATATGCAAATTGTTACCAGTTTAATGTATATCAATAATATATTAAAGTCAATATGCCAATGAACCTTTACAAAAATAAAATGCAGTGCTTGCTGAAAGTCTGAAATAAAAACAAAACATGTTAGAAATTCTCAATGGGTCAGCCACCTTCTGTGGAGAGAAAAACCGAGTTAATGTTTTAATTTGCTGGCCTGTCGAAAGAGTTTTGTCATTTCTGTTCCTTCACTCTTCAGACAGAACACAGGCATTTCATTTTTGTGCTGCAATCTGTGCATTATGAATGGAATCATGAACTGTGACTTGAATTTCGTATTTTCAAAGGAGGAGCAAATCAACTCTCAAACTATAGCATTGTTATTATTAACAGCAAAATAATCTGGTGACCAAACTAATCAAATCATGACTGACAAAGGATGGCTTGTTTGAACCATTTTCTTGGATTTGTTTATTTTTCTAGCTAAAAGTTCACAAATAATAGCAGCTGTTTGAAAATAAAATAATGTGACCAGAAGCTATGCACACTGTCAGGCCAAGCTTAAATAGCTCTTCCTTCAAGAAACTTTCTGTTTCTTTCAAAACATACTCAGACACAATAAGGCCACTTCTTGTTCCCATCCTACTATTGCTTGTGGTGGACAAAAGTAAAATGCTTCAAATGAAATTAAATAAATAGAGCAAATTTAAGCTAAAATCACACATTGTGTATTATAAGCCAGCTCTCCCTCATCCCCAATAACTCTGTTATGCAGCACTCACTCCGTCACCCAATTTGAGAACCTTTGATTTAGAAAGCCAGTCATTGACCAATATCATTTTCTTGACTTTGCAGCAACACTGGGAGTTTTATAAATCTCTGTTTGATGTCTGTGGAAGATCTCCACGTTCTCTGATGCACCTGGCTAGATGTGCTATTCGAGCAGTGTTACAGAAAAGGTGTTACAAAGCAGTGCCAAAACTTAACCTTCCACTTCGACTTAAAAAGTATCTTCTATTAGAACCAGAGGGTGTGCTCTACTGAGTTTCAGAATTGATAAATGAGTTTCTATGCATCACTGGATCTTATTTTTCTTGTTAAATCAACCATTGCACAAAGTTAATGGCCCGGATTTTGCAGTCAGTGATGTAGGAACAAAGCTTACTATTCATTACGTGTACAGCTACTGTGGGCTTTTTAGCAACAGCTTAGAGTTACAAGAAGTCCTTTTCAGTATGGTGCCCTCTTTAGGGGACTGCAGCATTATGAACAGGGAAAAAATACAGCACAACTCTTACAGAGGCATGTAGATTCTCAACCAGGAAGCAAAAATTAGAATATCTAATTCAGTTTAAAATCATGCATGAAAGCTAAATAACGTGAAGTGAGAGAAAGAAAGACTTGCATTTACATAAAGCTTTCCATGGCCACTAGACATCTCAAACTGCTTTACACCTAATGAAGTCCAAAGAAGTGTAGTCACTGTTATAAAGTGGCAGCCAATACATACTGAGCAAAATCTGACAATGTGATAATGAACAGATAATCTGTGTATGTAATGTTAATTGAGGCATAAGTATTCGCTGGGCACCAAGTAGCACTTTCCTGATCTTCTTGGAAATAGTGCCAACCTCTTAAGGATCCAAGTTTAGCCTCAGTTTAACATCTGTATCAAAAAGTTCTACTCCAGTAATGCACCTGAGTGTCAGCTGTGAATGGATTTGAACCAAGCTGACCAAACAGAAACTAAGAGGCACAAACATTCTTTGTTTATTGACAATATAAGTCCAACAGTCTCTGTCTCAGCACCAACCATTTCCCCTTTATATCTAGGCATCAATTAACTAATTGATAGACATCACCAGTTTCATTTCTAACCTTACCAGAGTCCAAAGACATAAGGTTAGGTGGATTGGCCATGCTAAATGGCAACGCAGTGTCCAGGGATATGCAGGCTAGGTGGATTAGCCATGGTAAATGTGGGGTTATGGGGATACAGTGGTGGTGAGGGATCTGCGTGGGTTGCTCTCCAGAGCGTCAGTGCAGATTTGATGGACCGAATGATCTCTATCTGCACTGTAGGGATTCTATGATTCTATGAGTACATTGTTGCTAACTTTGCAGATGACATAAATATAGGTGAAGGATCGGGTAGTGTTGAGGAAGCAGGAAGATTAGGGGCAGAGACTATTTTCTAAATGGGGAAAGGCTTTGGAAATCCTAACCACAATAGGACTTAAGAGTCCTAGTTCAGGATTCTCTTAAGGTTAAGATGCAGGCTCAGTTGGCAGTTAGGAAAGCTAATGCAATGTTATCTTTCATGTCAAGAGGACTAGAATACAAGAGCAGGGATGCACTGCTGAGGCTTTATAAGGCTCTGATCACTGCATTTGGAATATTGCAAGCAGTTTTAGGTTCTGTATCTAAGGACGGATGTGCTGGTGTTAGAGTTCACAACGATGATCATGGGGATGAAGGACTTCACATATGAAGAGCGATTGGGGACTCTGAGTCTGGTTCAGAAGGATGAGGGGGATCTTATTAAAACTTACAGAATACTGAGAATACTGAGTAGAGTGGACATGGAGAAAATGTTTTGACTGGTAGGAGAGACTAGGACCTTCACAACTCAAAGTGAAGGCCAACCCTTTAGAATGGAGAAGAGGAAGAACTTCTTCAGTCAGAGGGTGGTGAATCTTTGGAACTCATTGTGCAGAAAGCTGTGGAGGCTAAGTCATTTAGTGTACTTAAGGCGGAGATATATAGTTTCTTGATTAGTAAGGTGATCAAAGGTTATGGGGAGAATGGCATGAGAAATGTATCAGCCATGATCAAATGGAAGAGCAAACTTGATGGGCCGAACGGTTTAATTGTACTTCTGTATCTTATGGTCTTAATTATTTGTTATATTAATGTCAGCTTTGTCCTGTGCGTAAGCCCAGGTGTCAAACTTGATCCAGAACCTTATGATCCAGCAATGAGACTTTTTTAAAGGAAGTTGATCTGAGAGAAACAAAAGATAGAAAGTAAAAGTTACAAAAATGTAACATTTAATTTAAATTTCAATAAAAATTAAAGTCTGAAGGAGTGAGACTCCACACTTGTAAATGTAAAATCCCAATACCAGAGAGGTTGTTTTGTTAGTAATTAAGATTTATTATGGCATTAAAAATTCACTTACACACAAATGCACCAGCCCTAATTTTTTCAAGAATGTTTAACAAATGCTATAATTTTGTGCCTTTATATTTTAATGCTGAATCTGTTGGAGATGTACCATGTGGAAGAACAGGGTACCTAGGACAATAATCTCTGCTTTTTAACACTTAACTGTACATATGTGGCAGTAGAAATCACTTTTCAATTTCATTTGTAAGAAATGCAAGCACTGATAGCCTCATTTATAATCCAAAATCCGGGCCATTGGATTTCCCTTAGATCTTTTCTGTGTATTAACTGCATCTGCTTATATATTTTGAATCAAAGCAATTTTCAAAGACAAATGAACAAATCTGATTGTGTAGAATATGAAATGCACAAAAATAGAGTAAATTGTATATCCTATTTTATTGTTCTGTTACATTTGCCAAGAAAATCATAATTTCAAAAACGTTTAATTAACATTAAAAAAGTGTAACTATGATACCTTCTTTGACCATTTAAATTTACACATTTCATCTGTTTGGTAGTTGTTTTCTTTGACATCTATTTTACTAATTTTCCAAGTAAGTCCAGGAACCACAGGTATATATTCCAAGATGTTTCTCTAACATTGTTGAATTTGTACATGTCCTGCATTCAACATAAGATAACATGATGTCAAACAATTACTGATTATTTCTATGTGTAGTTCTATATGACATTTGATAAATTTATATTTTATTAAATTTGTACTGTACCTGTTATCATTGATTAACACGAAGTCTGTCCTGCCTAAACCATCTTATGTCTGAAATCATCAACTCACACTTTTGTCTTTACACCTACTCATTACCATCACTTCCTTAAGGTGCCACCCCCAAGCCTTTTATTCTGTCCCAAATACTTCTTGTTTAAAATCATTCCTGTCTACTGCCTCTGCATTCCCAACACCCACCAGTCCTTACCAGATGGCTTCCTTTTTTCCCTCCTTCAGATTCTATGTTGAGCAACTCTTCATTCTGGCTGATTTCATTTGCATCAGAGATAGTAGGAACTGCAGATGCTGGAAAATCTGAGACAACAAGGTGCAGAGCTGGATGAACACAGCAGGCCAAGCAGCATCATAGGAGCAGTAAGGCTGACATTTCGGCATTTCACCTTGACTCTCCTTTTATTTCCCTGCAGTCTTGACTTCCTTTAATCTTTCACTACACCTAATTTCTCCATTCATATTCATGACTCCTTCCTTTACTTTGTTTATTTCATGTGCTCTCTATACTTCCATATCCTTGATTATAGACAAGATGAAATCTCCTGGCATTCCTCGCCACCCACTTAATCCTTCCTTCTGTTTCCACTCATGGAATAACCCCTAAATGCCACTTAAACAGCACGTTCAAATTCCTGACCTTGGCTTTCTCTGCAGGTGTCAATTTGTCAATCTTCTGCACATTTGCTTTTGTCCCTAATAAACCTTTACACTTTCCAAATGAAATATTTCCACCTAGTGTTGTTTCCTTAGGTTAAGAAGAGCCAAATTAGCTCTCAGATCTTAAAATATTAAACTTAATGTTCTCATGACATGCCTTTTCTTTGCTTCAAGAGAGGTCTGCATTCCTCTGATGCTGGCGTTTTATATGCCACACCTTCCCTTTGCCTCATCATTTAAAGCTGTACTCTCAGTCATTTTGTCCCATTCTCTGAAATATCCCCTTTATACTTCTCAATCTACTTCTCCTTCTTTGAGATGTTTCTTAAATCACCCTATACAAAGCTTAGGATCACTCGTTCCTAATATCTTTTGTTTTAATTTCATTCATAAAAAAAACTCTTCATTTATATACATTGTGGCAAAAGCAGTTCAGTTCTGTATAGTTGCATATGAAGTAAATAAACAAAACATTGGACTTTGACTATCCACCAAACCAACGACCTCTCTTATACATACAATACTAATATTTACATATATTTGAGGCACTAGAAGGGTTTGACTCAGCATCAAACTTTATCTGATTTATCTTCACAGAAAGCACTTCGACATGTTCTAAACATAGAAACACAGAAGATAGGAGCAGGAGGGGGTCATTTTGCCTTTTGAGCCGGCTCCACCATTCGTCACGATCATGGCTGATCATCCAACTCAATAGCCTAATCCAGCTTTCTCCCCATAACCTTTGATCCCTTCACCCCAAGTGCCATATCTAGCTGCCTCTTGGATACATTCAATGTTTTGGCATCAACTACTTCCTGTGGTAATGAATTCCACAGACTCACCACTCTTTGGGTGAAGAAGTGTCTCCTTATCTCTGTCCTAAATAGTCTACCCCGAATCCTCAGACAGTGACCCCTGGTTCTGGACACACCCACCATCGGGAACATCCTCCCTGCATCTACCCTGTGTAGTCCTGTTAGAATTTTATAAGTCTCTATGGGATCCCCCCCCTTCATTCATCTGAACTCCACCAAAAACAATCCTAACCTAGTCAATGTCTCCACAATCAGCCTGGTAAACCTTCGCTGAACTCACTCGAGAGCAAGAACATCCTTCCTCAGAAAAGGAGACCAAAACTGCACACAATATTCTAGGTGTGGCCTCGCCAAGGCCCTGTTTAACTGTAACAACACATCCCTGCTCCTGTACTCAAAACCTCTCGCAATGAGGGCCACATACCATTTGCCCTCTTTTGGTACATTAAAGACAGTAAACATATGTAAGTTATTGTTATTGATAAAAACCAAAAGAACTACGGATGCTGTAAATCAGGAATAAAAACAAAGTGCTGGAAAAGCTCAGCAGGTCTGGCAGCATCTGTGAAGGAAAAAAAGAGTTAACGTTTCGGGCCCGGTGACCCTTGTGTATTGTTATTGATGTTACCTTCCGATGACAGTTTATCTGCTTATCTACAGTAGCTGCAGAGAATTCTGACTTCAGTAGGCCATTCCTTTTTTTTAAACATTTCTGTTTATTCACTTGCAGTGAAGAAAATTCATGTAATGTTAATTATAATGCTACTGCAATTCTATGTATATCTTTGTTGTCACATTAAAGAAATACATCCTTTTAAAAATGCTAAATAAAATTTTATGCTTTCTCACTTGTCATGTTTTCATTTTCTCTTTTTATGTTTGCTTTTAAATTTTGGTTCAGACTACTTCCTGTCATTCATATATTTCATGATTTACTTTTTTTTGTTACTCATGTAATCAGATGTTTATATTTTCTAGCTTCATTCTGAAGCTGTTATTTATACCTCTAGAAATTCCAATCCTGGCTGATTGAAAAATATCTCCTAGCCATTTGAGAGCACTTTACATAATCAGATCATTGGAGTGAGCAGTTCAGACTCTGATCTTGTTTTGGGATGCCCTTCACAATCAGAAGGTGCCTAATAATCATCAACATCTCAAGAATGTGGGAGATCCGATAAGTTATTTTCATTCAGTGTCCAAAATTAAATTTGAAAAGATCATTGCTTACTTTTTCACGATCCATCTGTTAGTCATCATGATCCTTTCTCCACTAGTGCAAATGTAATTCATTCAGATTATCCTCACAAACTAATGCACTGCATCCATTACTCTTTTCTCTAAACTCTCCATCATACCATGCTTTTTTAAAAGGTAAGGAGGGGTAGGCATTGGTTCACAATGCTTTGGGCAGTTTGTATCAGCAAGCAGATTGACATATAACCCAATCATAACATTTGTATTCAAATAGTGGCAGCTACTTTGGTTCTGTAAGGGTCAACGCTGTGACCCCACAGTTATTTACAATCAATATTAATTGCTTAGATAAAGGTAATGAGATTAACAAATGCAAGTTTACTGACAATGCAAAGCTAAGTAAGATTGTAGGCTGAGGCTAAAGGACAGGTTAAATGAATGGGCAATGAAGTGCCAGATAGTGTATAATGTGGAGAAAAATGAAGCTTTTCACGTGGCTAAGAGGAATAGAACATCAGAATAATATTTGAAATGGTGAAAAATTATTAAACATTCATATTCTGATATTTGGGTGCCCTTGTACAAGAAGGTCTCTACGTAGCTACAGTAAGTAAGTAAGAACAAATGGCATTTTGACCTTTATTGCGCGAGGGCTGAAGTCCCAATAGGGAAGTTTTGTTGCAATTTATGTGGGGCTTTCATGAGAACACACGTAGAGTACTGAGAACAATTTTGGTCTCCTTACAATAAGAAAACATTTCTTTGCTATGGAGGCAATGCAGTATGGGTTAACCACATTGATTCTTAGGATAAGTGGATTGTCCTGAGAATTTTTGGGACTAAGTGTCTGGAGTTTAGAAGAGTGAGATGTAGGCCTGGTCTTTATGTTAAATCATGCTTCTGTACCCCATTCTGAGACAAAAATCAAGGGGGCAGGGAGCCTGGCCATGATAATAATTGTCACCCTGCAGCAAGGTCACTCTGGGGGCAGTGTTAATTGCTTTTTCTCCATAGGATGTCCTACCTTAGAGACCTGCTAGCCAATCAGATGACTGGAAGCTGTAGTACATGCACTCAGAGTGGAGGCTGTTGCTGGAAACACAGGCAGTCCCACCACAATAAGGCACCTGGGTACATCTGGGGTGAATGGGCTCACTAAGACCTGCCAAGCTGGCACTGGCAAGATGGTGTCAGGGGTTGGAGGGCTGGATTAAAGAGGCTAGAGTGGAGTAATGAAATGGGGAGAAAATGACCTCTGCTGAGTGCATCTGATGAATCCAGGGGGCTACTGGGATAGCTGTCCACTGTGATCATTTATGCACTGTTTCTAATTTTCCAAAATTCCCTTAATTCAAAGAAATTTCCATTTGCTTCAAAAATGGCAAATGTAGCAAATGTAACTCCTTTATTCAAAAAGGGAGGGAAACAGAGTGCAGCACACTATAGACCAATTAGCTTAAAAGTCTATCCTTCAGTAGATACCAGAAGTTATTAGTAAAGATGTTACAGCAGGGCACTTAGAGAAGTTCGAGTAATCTGGAAGAGTCAATGTGCTTTTGCAAAAGAGAAATCATGTTGAACCAACTTATTGAAGTTCTTTGAAGAGCTGTTCTGGAGACCTGATAGATGTACTGTACTTAGAATTCCAGAAGGTATTTATATGGTGTCACAGGTTATTCTGAAAAATAAAAGCTCATGCTGTAAAACGTAATATAGAAACATAGCAAATGGGAGCAGGAGTAGGCCATTTGATCCTTCAAACCTGTTCCACCATGCAATATGATCATGGCCGATTGTCCAACACAGTTCCCTGTTCCTGCCTTCTCCCCAAACCCTCCAATCCCCCAGCCCTGAGAACTTCATCCAACTCCCTCTCAAAAACACTCAATGTCGGAACTTTAAATACTTTCTGTGGCAGAGGCTTCCACAGGCTTATCACTCCCTGCATGAAGAAGTTTCTCTTCACCTAAGGCTTAAATGGTCTCTCCATATTCTTATACTATGACCCCTCGTTCAGGTCTCTCAGGTCATTGGGAACATCTTTCCTGTGTTCACCCTGTCTAGTGCTATTAGAATTTTAGAGGTTTCTGTGAGATCCCATCCCCCCTTACCCTCCGTTGAAGGGACAGAAAGTATGCTTGCTAAATTTGCTAACGACACAAACATGGATTGGAAAGTAAATTGTGAAAAGGCCACAAAGGGATATATGTATGTTGAGTAAGTAATGTGAAATTGTCTATTTTAACAGGAGAAATTTTTTAAAAAACATGCATGCCATCTAAATGGTGAAAGATTGCAGTGTTCTGTGGTTATATGATTATATGATTACTGATGTGTGAATGTATAAGCAGGGAGAGTAAATAATTAGGAAAACTGATGGAATATTATCATTTATTGAGAAGGAAATTCAATACAGAAGTATTTTGAAAAGTATCAAGGGAGGCTATGCTTGAGCAATGCAGGGCATTGGTGAGACCACATTCAGATTACTGTGTACAGCATTTCTCACCTTATCTGAGAAGAATTTAAAATGCTGGAAGCAGTCCAGTGCATGTTTACTAGACTAATACCTGGAATGGGTAGTATGTCTTATGAGGAAAGTTTAGATAGATGAAGCTTGTACCTGTTGCAGTTTAGAAAAGTAAGAGGCAACTTCATTGAAACATATAAGATTCTGAGGAGACTTCACAGGGTAGATGTTGGAAAAGATATTTCTTGATGTGGGAAATTCTAAAACTAGGGTATCACAGCTTAAAATAAAAGGTTGCACTTTTTAAGAAAGAGATGAGTCTTTTTTTCTCATAAAGGTATGGATTTTTGGATCTCTATGTCCTCAAAAGACAATGAAAGCAGGTTCTGTAATTTCTTTGAAGCAGAGATAAATAGATTCTTGGTGACCAAGGCAGTGAAAGGTTATCTGCCAGAAACATGGATTAATCAAATCAGTCATGAAACCATTCAAAGATTGGGAATCACCTTAAAGCAATCAAACTGTTATAAAAACAAACAAATTTTTATTCAGGGGACTCAATGGTCTTGTGTATTACCACTGTACCTGTTAATCCCGAGACCCAGCTAATGTTCTGGGAACCTGGGTTCAACTCGTGCCATGGCAAGTGGTGGATTGTGAATTCAATAGAGAAAGAATCTGAAATTAAGAGTCTAATTATGACCATTGTCAATTGTCAGAAAAACCTATCTGTTTCACTTTTATTGTTTAGGAAGGAAACTGCTGTCCTTACCTGGTCTAGCCTACATGTGACTCCAGACCCACAGTAACGTGGTTGACTCTTTACTGCCCTATGGGCAGTAAATGCTAGCCTAGCCAAGTG